AACAACTTTTATTTGACCAGCGCAATTTTTGGTATAGCCTCAAAAATAAAACGAAACAACTACTTGTTCAAAGTAGACATTGTCGAATGTTTATTGGCTAAGGCGGGTTTTGTTTAATTATGTTCAAGACCTAAAGCTAAACCTTTTTTGCAAATTTCTTTGCGTTTACACGTACTGTTGAAAAGTCTGTTGGCTTATCTTGTCTAAATACGTTATATCTTTATAACAGTCGGCATAGAAACGAACATAATTTATATAACATACAGAACTTGTGGGGGCTTTCGTTGAATATAAAGATTAAAACGATATGATAAAATTTTTATTAAATTACATAATATGTTAAAATAATAATAATTTGACTCAAAGGATAGATAAAATTTCAACCGACATAAAAAAAGGAGGTGATTCCGATTTCGGTTACATTTTTTTTATGTTTATTTCCTCAGAACTCCGTCATTTACAAACGTATTTGTTTTGAACTCATCCAAATCAAGTAGAAATTGTATAGTGATAATTTAGTTGCTTGTGTTAAATATATTTCCGAAAACCGAATTAAATAAATGGAGATATTGTCAAAAAAGTAAATTTTTAAAAAAAAGTAACTTAACTACGTCAGTGACATTATATCAGTAGCTAATGAGCAAATACTGAACAAATTGCAACAATTGCAGTTTAATATAATTTCTCGTATGTAATGATAGTGCGCATTGTATTTAAAACGATGTCTTAGATACTGGATGGAATGAAAAAAGTAGAGTTTTAAGAAAATCTCATCTCGTCACGCTTTCAATCCGTAAAGTGATAGCAATCTTGGATTACCGTGTACGTTATTAAGTAGAACACTTGTAATATATTTTCTGAATAAAAGATATAAAAAGTAAGGTGGAAAATGAAAAAAATTAATAACGTTATAAATTTATGTCTTGTTATTTATTCTAGAACTAATAAATGCAATGAAAATATACACTTACGTACATACAAAAAAAACTTTTTACATCACAATATTCTATGAGTAAATCGGTGGGAGGTAGCTTTTCATTGAAGGCCCCGCCCTGCCCAAAGGTGGTTTGGACAAATTATTATTATTATTATTATTTAAACCTGACATAGATAACTCTGTTTCCGCTTCTGAATTAGAATGCCTCGCATTGTTGCGAAGCAAAATTTTATAGTTCTTTATAATCCCACGTAATTCCAGTTGTTGCGGATCTTGTCTCAAATTGTTGTTAGTAACTCTGAAATCGTCTCTATTGTCCTTATTTTTAGAATCATGGATCGCGTCAAGCTTAACTTCGTGTTTATGGTTTAAACTGTTAAGAGGTGTTGACTGTTTAAAGGGAAGTGGTCGAGGTTTCATTCTTAACCGGTTTGACTCAAATACGTTTTTGTTGACCATATAATTTAGTACATCAGACATATCCAATGGCTTTTTCTCAATTGTTTTCCTTTCATTAAAGGATTTTGATTCGTTGCGGGGACTTTGGTAATGGTTTAGTAATGACTTTTGTAATATATTTGTCGTCCTTTTTAAATTACTTTCTGATTGTGGTTCTCTCTGGGAGCCTTCACTATGAAATTGGCGTACATTTGGTGTTAAAAGATGTTTAAGGAAAATATTCTGTTGTACAACTTCTTTTATGTTGGTTTCGGCGGTTGATAAATCTTGTTCGAACTTACTTTGCATTGAATATTTTTTTGGATTTTCTCCTTTTATTTGTGGTTTTACCTCTTTTTTGTCTATATGTTGTATGATATAATTATATTCTAATGGAATGGAAGTGCTTGTATAGATATTTTCGGTTGCACTTAATTTTAATGTATTACTGTTTTCATTATTAGTCGACCAGTCTTGAGTGTGACTTATAGGTGCGCTTGTGTGGTAAGTGTCGTCATAATTTAAAAATTCAGTTTGGTACATGTTATCCTGGTCTGGGAATGTAGTTGTTTTTAAATCTTGCGCATGGACTTTTTCATTTAACCACTGAGTACTTTCCGTAGAAGGAGCTCTGGTGTAAATATTGTTTTCTTGAGTGATTTCATTATGTTTCACAATATTGTCTACATAAGGCTTATAATTTTTATAACTGTCATCAAATCCCGTATATACATTTTCTGACAATTTGACGCTTTTTTCCGATGTAAAATCTGATTTTATGTTATTGTTATTACTGTTGTGATTAATTTGCTCTTGTAAACTGGAACTAACATTACTTACGTTTAAATAATTATTTAAATATTTTTCTTTATTAATATGAACACCGTTCACTTCGTGTTGCTGCTGTGTATTGAAGTTATGATTTAAATTTGTTTGAAGATCTTCAGAGAGTTCACTTCTCATAATTTTTGTATATTGTTCTGGTGTCATATCACTAAAGTTAATTATTATGTCGTCTCCTTCACTAGAAGATCTTGATATTGAATCTTTGGACGGAATTGCATTATCGGTTTTACCATTAACACCATATTGCCACCTCCATAGACCTTTGTTATTGTCTTGATCCAATTCTTTTACACCTGATTCATAGTTTACTAATTGTGGCATTGGAGATTTTTGGACAGAATTCAAAGAAGGTATGTGAGCACCTTGCGTAGCGAGAAAAGTAATTTGAGGTTCTAATAATTCATAATTATTATTTCTCTTAATTTTATCTTCAGAGACCTGAACATTTGTTTTTACAGGCTCCTTGGAAATTGCCATTGGTGTTAAGTTGTTTTGCGAGATTATATTTTGTGGGAGTCCAAATGAAAAAGCTTCTGGTGTTCGTCCAGTAAACAAATTTCGAGGTGAAGTATAAGAATTTGGACTGTTTTTTTCGCTACTGTTGGGATTGCTGTCGTATTCACCTTCGTTAAATGATTGCGAATTCAGTGGCCTTTTAGCTTCCTCGGCAAGATTATATTGAATCGATCTAAAAATAAACAAGACATACTAATATTTTTGAAATGACTCATTAAATATTCAGAATATAAATACTATACAGACCTTTGAATAATCTCTGGAATCGGAGGTGCCACAGGTAAATGAGCACCGGTGGCCCGAAAACCATTAGAATCAGCAATGTAATGTACAGTATATGTCTGTCCGTCGTCACCAACATATGAATATGAACCTTCAACAATTTGACCTTCATTGTCTGTACCAATATTTTCCATACGACTATGTTGTACGTAATGGGTTTGGTCAGCACCCAAGGCTCTGGGAAAAAGTATGGTTTTCATTATTTTATAAATATTTGTGACAAATCATAATGTGATATATAAATTAATAGATTCTGGATATAACTTACTCGTAGCTAAAACTACCATCTAAATCCATTTCATTAGAAAGTCTCAGAATAGGTATTGCGGGTTCCGTGGTCGATTGAATTAACATATGAGGAGGAGGAGAATAACGTATATTGTGGAAGGAAGCTTTTTGTTCAAGTTCTTGACTCTTGCTGTTATCTGCCGATATTATTATTCCTCTTGTATTTTGATTTACGGGAAGCACATTTGCAGCATCCTTTGAGGCAGAGGATAGTGACAAAATTTTCGTATCCATTCTATCTATAGGTTGTTTATAATTTGATAATTGTGGAAAGCTCCTAAATTGTCTTCTTTCCGCCTCTTGGTATACTTGTGTGTTTGTCTGGTTGAAATAAGAAGGAGTAGCAGAAGATATATTACGTTTTTCAATTCGTTCTCCTTGTGGAGCAATATTGTCTTCACCATAATTTACAGTCGATGTAAATACTTTCGGAAATAAGGTCGGAGATGTATTAGCTGCTTGTACTGGCGGTGGTTTAAATGGCAGATTGTGGTAATTAGTGGTAGAAAAGATCGGTGCAGGAATATGAAATTCGCGCGGCAAATAAATAGGGTTGTCTGTTGAAATGATTGAATTCGCAAATGAATAATTTGGCTGCAATGGATACTGTCCCTCTTGAACTTTTTCACCGTATGCACTATTGATTAAAATCACATACAAACAAAGATACACCTGAAACAATATAACTATTTTGTTATACTACATGCCATGTGATTGTATATTAAAATAGTAGACTTTAATAACCACTGAATTCATAATTAGGCAAACAAACTTCACTTACTATCTTCATCATGTCTGAAGCAGTTTAACCTATATATTCCAAATCACGTCACACTTTTGCACAGGTAGAAAATAGACTGATAATGAAATTGAATTCCGCATATATTTATACGCACGCAAGATCGTGTTCAGGCATTCGTGAAAATATCGCTTGCATTTAATGTTGTTTTCTCTTCTATTACCACTAACACAGATTTTGTTTTTTATGTGATGTCATTGCTATATTTTGAAGTAGCGCATATAATATGATTGCTAGGTAAGTGTATGTTATAATGATATTAAGGTTCAGTTTCCATGTTATCAATACGCTCGATTATCTTTAGAGGCTTTTTAAAGATCGATTGACTCAATTAAACATCACAGCGAGTTCCGAGTGTTATCGAACCACGTTTATCGAATGATGCAATTTTTGTAATGGTCAAAGTCATTGTCCTTATAAACAGGTTTGCTTAATTTGGAGGTTCAAGGTCTAAGTCCTTGTGATTTCAAAGCTAAGATATTCTTTTTATGATTAAAAAATAACTATTGTATCGCCTCTCAATCTATTTTAAGGCTTTAAAAAAACAAAAAGGTTATTAAGTAAGTTTAGTTTATTTAACTTAAAGTAAAAATCACAAATGTCTATGGCTATGAAAGTATGTTACACATTGATGCAATTACACCACGTCACTCAACAATCGAGTTCACAACTTTTATCGTGACCAAGATTGGTGGTTTGTAAGTACTCTAAAACTTACAAAATTATTAAAAATATAAACTACATGGCTAACTTGACAAATGCTTTCTTTGTATTCCATAGATAAACGTAATTATTCCAAGTTTCTTTTCATATGATCTACATTCAGGCACTTTGTTTTTATTGCCGTTGGTATATTATTCGCTTGCATTTATGCCACTATTTATTGCTGGTCTATTTGCCAGAACCATAGCTCGCTTGCGGATAGTATGTCTGTTGTTGATTTTGTTGCGGGTAATATGTCTGCTGTTGTTGTTGGTTTTGTTGTGCAGGATAATATGTTTGCTGAGGTTGCTGTGGGTACACAGTTTGTTGCGGGTATACTGTCTGCTGAGGCGTTTGCGGGTATACCGTTTGCTGAGGTTGCTGAACTGTTTGAACAGGTTTTTGAGTCGACGGGGGGTAGTAAACTGGTTGTGCCTGTTGATGCTGTGGAGGATAATTAAGATTCTGCGGGTTTTGTGCCTGTTGCGGGTAGTAAATCTGTTGTGGGGTTTGAGTTGGCTTTGGTTGCTGGGGCTTATTTTTTTCCGCCTCTGCTTTGGCTGCTTCTTCTTCTTTCGCGTTTTGTTCGATGGCCCTGTTAATGGTCAAATAAATTCTTAAGTTTAAACTATTCATAATTTATTGATTTTAAACCATACTGTTTTGAATATGTAATTTAACCTATTCCACAATATTTTTTTTAGATTACTTTCTACTACATTTGTTATCATTTATGTCTTAACTAGATTAAATATCTCGGAGGGTCCTCGCTTGTAGTTAAGTAGTAATTAATATTATATTAATACTCAATACTCGTAAACATAATATCTCACACGATATAGACTTATGTTAACAAAGTATATAAGTGCGAAGTAAAAAGCAAAGTTACAGTCTAAATATGGACAGTCACTTTTGGACAAAGGCTTCCATTAGATGGGATGGCATCTCGGATCCCATTGCGGACTTTAAATATTTTTTATTCTAATAGTTATAATATCTAGGTGTATACAGGTTTCCTCATGATGTTTCCCTTGACCGATGAGCATAAAGTTAAAAATCTACCATTATTATCTTTTTTTTCGAGATTTGAACTGGGGTTGTTGCAGTATAGTGAACTAATAGTTCAGTATAGTGCGCCTGGACCCTGAGCTATGTAGGCTTTGATATATTAGAATTGTTATATTAATTTATTTGCCATTGAAATTGTTTCCATCACTTATAAAGACTACGCAATGGTACGTTTCCAATTTGCAAGAAAGTACGTTTACGGTGGTAGGGCCACGCAGCAGCCTCGGCTGTTGCACGGGCATGCCCGTCTGGTTAAGTACCACGACCTCACAGAAGACCAGCGTAAAGTGGAAGTATGACAAATACTTTCGCGTTTCGTCTGGTGAGTGAGGTAGCCGGAGCCCAATTTTCATAAGGTTGTCAACGCATCTGTTATTCTCGGGTGTGGCAGATGTCCATGGGCGGCGGTATTCACTTAACATTAGGTGAACCGTCTGCTCGTTTGACAACTTTTCGCATTAAAAAAAAAGTAGGGTGGTACTTACGCCTGTATCGCTGGAGGGACTGGAGGTGGTGTGGGAAGATGGTCTCCAGTGGCATGGTAGCCAGAGTCGTCGGCCCAGTAAGTGACTGTGTAAACTTTTCCATTATTGTCGGTAAAAGAATACCATCCCTTTTTCACAATGCTCTCGTCGTTTTCCTTCGGGTTGGTGAAATAACCCTCTTCACCTACGTGCGTGCCGTCGCCAATCTGATATCTAGATAGTACGAGCAGAGAAGTAAGTAATACAAAATTTAGTTTATGCAAATAACTAGTATCTATCTTTCCATGGTCTTTTTATAAAAACTATTAAAATACAAATCTGAGAAAAAAAGAGTCGTTAAAGCTTGTAATAAACAAGTTAATGCCAAACTATTGTTTCACATCAGTATAAAAATCAACGATATTTTTATAAAGATGACGCACGTCCGTATTGCCCGACGTTTAAAAATTGTTTCTCTTTACATTATATAATATAGATGAGTGAATGTGACAGATGATTAGAATGTATTATAACATACTTTGAAGGGCAATCTAGCTACACCAATTGGCGTAATTTGTATATAATATAATCGCTAACAATGATAAGACAACGAATATCTAAGATAGACACACTTCGATATGTGCCAATTCCAATTTTTTTGTGCATATTTAGTTGTTTATCAAGATTTCTCTGGTACAGTTAAATTGCTTCTAATGTAACCGGATTTTGAGTGGATGCGTCAAATCTATTGAATGTTGACCGTTAGTCTCAATTTTGCTTCCGATTTGAAAAAAGGTGTGAAATCAGTTTGAATATGTTTATTAAGGAGGATATTTATTATTATTTTTTAATATCGTTATTTGAATTTATATATATATATATATATATATATATATTATATTGAACATTTATCTTTTATCGATAAAAAAAAATTACATTCAAGATACTTATATATGTACTTATATTAAGGTGATAGTAATTTTGGTACTCACTCATATTTATAGCTGCCATTATCTCCAAATGATTGTTCATTTTTAATAATCGAAACAGTCGGAGTAGTTGTTGTAGTTGTGCTCGGTGCTGGTTGCTGTTGATTGTTCCAGTTGTTCCAATTGTTGTTGTTATTCCAATTGTTCTGCGCGGGTACGTTGTTCTGGGGTTGGTTCCAATTGTTCTGCGCGGGGGCGTTGTTCTGAGGTTTGTTCCAATTATTCTGGGGGGCCACGTTATTCTGGGGATTGTTCCAGTTGTTCTGCGGGGCCACGTTCTGGGGCTTGTTCCAAGTGTTCTGCGGCGCTACGTTGTTCTGCGGGTTGTTCCAACTGTTCTGCGGGCCCACGTTGTTCTGGGGGTTGTTCCATGTCTGCTGGGGCGGGTCGTTTTGGACGGGGAAGTAGCCTTGCGAGGGCGGTACATAATTGCTGATTGGGCTCTGGGTAGGAACGTAATTGCTCACTGGTGCGGCTGGCGTACTCGACGGCACGTAAGAGCCGAAGGACGAAGCCGGGTTGCTCTGCGACGGTATGTAGTTGCTCGGCGAGGGGTTCCAAGGCCTCGGTGGAGTTTGAGGGGGGGGCGTGTAGTAAGGTGGCGTAACCGCGGGCGCGTAGTACTGCGAGAAGCTGCTCGGACTCGACTGGGCAGCAGTTTGGTCGAACTTCAACTGCTCCACGGAAGCGCTGGTGTCCTGGTCATCGATCTCTTCCGTGGGCAACCCCCCGGCCCGCGCGAAAGCCAAAATGGCAGCAGTTAACAAAATCTGTTGGACCAAATTTAGCTAATTTTAGATGAATGTTAAAATATGTAGCGACATTTTTAATTCTTCCGTACTGATAGAAAATGAATTTGACAATACATAAAGCTTTATATAGTTTGGTAAAATTCTTCCCTATAATTGTAACTGTGGTAATTTTAATTGGGATTAATAGTAGATAATTAGTAGTAGTTGGCTTACAACGTAAAGCCACCATAAAATCAAATTCAGATGTGATTAAATGGCTGATAATTTTTACTGAATTTTAATCCAGTGTATACCTTAACCTTTTATGAAGATGATGTTGAAATCTTTTTATTTAGCTTTCATACATACATACATCCATTAATTCATTTCTGGAATTTAGAAAAATTTACCACTATAAAATTGCGTTTCTTCGGGTAGGTGAGGTAACCGAAGCCCACTTTTTTTAAAGGTTCGCAACGCATATGTAAACTCTCAGGTGTTGATGTCCATGAGGGCCGTTAATCACTTAACATCCGATTAACCGCCTGCAACTTTTCACATAAAAAAAAAAACTAAATAATCCTATTTTCAAAGTTAAACGACGTGTACAGTACATTTCATAAAAAGTTTAATTACGTTTCAAAAAAGTTTAAGCTCACTTTGATTTTAAATATATGAAGTTATTTAAGTTAAAAACAATTAATTACACGTTTAATCTACATTTAATGTATTTCTTGTATAAACGCGCGTACTACAAAATTTTATAATATTTAAAACAAAATAAACACGAAAAAACATTATATATACACAAAGTATTTATCTAAAATCTAGTTAAATTAAATTAAATAATGTTTAAATCTAGATTAAAAAATAAGTTTTTAAATCTAGTTTCAAACATAACTTTTAGGAATAATTATAAGGATGTTTCATTTTGCAATCCAAGGACTCACCAGCTTCATCTTCGTGTCCTTCCGAGACCGAGGCCTGCCTGATACTGTGACCACAAGGGGTCGCTCCATATTTTATAGGAAGTATCCTGCGTCCTCGCGCGCCGTGCACACTTCTGCGTGTGTGCCGGACAACACAATGACCTCGCTCTTAGGGGCCGAATTCGGTTATCAACTCGGGTTAGGGAAGTTTCACGGCAGCGTTCTACGAACGCTGTTAACATAAACATAAAAAAATATTCTGCTAGAAGTTGCGAATAACGTTCCGTCAGGTCTGGAATTAAGGTAACAATTAGCAACGAAGTAATCCTGGAGATTTGGCAAGAAAAGTTAGTATTATACCCTTGTTTTCTACGTGTCTTAACTTCTTCAGTTTATTTTTATTTTAATGGTATCTTCTGGTGGTAAAATAATTACAAATTTACAGTTTTATGCATGTGACTACTATAATACATATGACTCATAAGGGTGAAAAATTTCTTACTAAATAAAGCCTATGTAGTATTGAGTTGCTATTAGGTATATTGCTTGATATTGCTTCCAAGCAATCGGGCAATATTCATTTAGTTTGTTCACGGAATGTTCAATACAGTTGGCGAAGTAAACTTAAATGATTAATAACTTATTCATAACTTTTAACCATTATCGTTTCTGCTAATTAATTTAATATTTTCGTTTTCCGATTGACTTATGCGCATTATGCCGATACTGTGATGAAGGCATGAATCAACCGACGGGTTTTGCCTTTTGTAACGGTGTAAGTGTAAAAAAACCTCAGCGGATCGAGTTAGGTCGACAGTTTTAAATTTCTGTCAGTATTGCCACTTCGGATAGCCATTCTAATGCCTCGCGTGAGGTATTGGTTTTGGCAGCGGTTAATGACGCCCTCTCTTCCTTTTAATACCATAAGAAAAAAAGATCGAGATAAATGGATTGGCGTGGACTAATCCTCTCAGGCCCCGAGTCCGCAGAAAGTTATCTCGAGTTAAGTTTTTAACAAATACGGGAGTTCGTTGTAATGATGATTTTAGTCATGGCCCTGAGAACGTTGATAAACATTAAACGCATATGTTTTGTACACTTTTTAAAGTACATTTGCACTTAGATGAATTAATGTATCGATGACGATAATATGTTTTAATGTGATGAAATGAAAACTTAAAGCTTTGTACGTTTCTTACCAGATGGTAAGAATGACTAGCCTTGATAGATATCAAGGCTAGTCATTTCAAATGCTACTTCTGTTGCTTCTTATTTAAGAAGGTCTACTTTATATGTGAGAAGCTGGCAAGAGAGCTGGTGGTTCTGCTGATTTTCTAGACCGTACGCAGATGTGTTGCCACCTTTTAATAAAGTGGGGCTCCCACACTAACAAGAGGAAACGCGGAAGTGTAACACATCCACTTCAACGCCGGTATTCTGTGAGGTCGTGGTAATTCCCCGGACGGACCTGCTCCCCATTCGTGCAACATCAAGTACTAGAGAAGTTTCATGGGCTCATGGAAGACCATCCTAAAGCAGAAGTTCTAATGGTTTTCCATTTTGTCTGTCGAGCAAGGTAAGCATAGATTTTCATTTTGTCTGTCGAGCAAGGTAAACATAGATTCCTACCCTTTCAAAATTTGTTAAGGTAAAGTCGCAAAAGTAAGGTGGTCGCAAACCACCTGCTCGCTTCCCGTCCCTTTTTTAAATACCAAACGAAAATATTACAACCGTAAAACCATCTTAACCTAGCTTTACGAAACAATCGATACAACTACAGTTATCTGATCTATTCCGTACAGCCATCTTGTGCCGTTAAAAAACAAGTGACTGCTTAATAACTTATCTATTCCCATTCAATTTGTTTATTTCATTTTACCGTTATGAAAATTGCCTTCCAAAATACCTTAGATTTGGTATTAAAAGCACAGTCACGTTTACAGATGATGTAGAGACAATACACACTACAAATGAAACGCATAATTTGATTTTGTGTTTATCTCAGCCTTAAGTGGATTTATATCTGGGCAATAAAACAAGGGTTCATATCAAGTGTGGCAGACGTTAATAATTTATACGTGAGACGTTTTTGAATTCATCTTGATATGAGTAATCATGATAGTGGGGTTAAAGGAAAAAAATCGGCTACCGTGAGTGATGATCTGCATTTTATGACATTTAAAAATGGGCCGTAACAATTTTAAGGTTCTCTTTCAGATGTCGAGTGCATTTTATAGATTTTTAGGCGAGTTTGCATCATTAGGTAGTAGGTTGGACCGTAATAAATTATTTATAGTTGACGACAACTTCAATTAGCTTAGACTTTAGGACGTCAAATTAATATCCTCGATATCATGATGATGGCTTTTGCCAGCGGTCTAACTCCAAAGAATGTTATAATTTGTTATTTTTTTATGTAAGAAAGTGGCAAAAGAGCTGTCGGTTCACCTGATGTTAAGTGACAACCACCGCCCATGGACATATGCGAAGCCCGTATTTTAAGGGTTGCAAATATGTTGCTACCTTTAAAAAAGTGGGTCCCGGCTACCTCACTCACCAGACGAAACGCAGAAGTGTAACACTTCTACTTTATGCCGGTCTCCTGTGAGGTCTTGGTACTCACCCGGACGGAGCTGCCTATCCGTGCAACACTGTTGGCAGCAGCGATAACAGCTGGACGTCCGTGATGTTGCGTGGCCCCTCCACAGTAGAATATGTTAGGTAGGTTAGGTTGTATTATCTTAGATTTTCATCAAGATTTGATGTATTTATTAAATTAATATTATTTTAAGCACTTTAGTGTTAATAGAGTTTTTTAAAGTCGGTTCTTCAAAAATAACCTTTTTTAAGAATGTTTTTAGCGGTGGATAAATGGCACTGACGCATAATAATAATTGTTCAGTCCTAAAGATTAATTTTTTTTAACAGAATCTGATACGAGTAAGGTTTATCGATGATCACGTGATAAGGTATATACGGAGGCCCGTTATTTTAGTATATTATACTAGCTGAATATTATAATATTTTTTTATATATATATATATACTAGCTGAATATTATATAATATAATATTAATATAATAATATTATAATATTTTTTTTATGTGAAAAGTTGCCAAACGAGCATACGGTTCACCTGATGGTAAGTGAATACCGCCGCCCATGGACATCTGCTACACTCGAGGGTTACAGATACGTTGACAACCTTTTGAAAATTAGGCTCCGGCTAGTTCACTCACCAGACGAAACGCGAAAGTATTTGTCATACTTCCACTTTACGCTGGCCTTCTGTGAGGTCGTGGTGCTTACCCGGACGGGCCTGCCCATACGGGCCTGCCCATACGTGCAACAGCCGAGGCTGCTGCTGCGTGGCCCTACCACCGTTAAATTTATTACTACTAGTTATTACTACTAGTCTTTACAATAACGGGCCTCCGTTAACATCGGAAAATATCCAGCGCCGTAAATATTTCTACTTCGTTTCGGTCTAAAAGCGAAATTGTGACAGTACAGATAACGTTAAATCGATAATATCACAATATGCATGCAAACTCCTGAATCGTCTGATTGATCGGATGAATACTCATATTTCGGATAATCTTTACTCAAATAATAAAAGGATATTATCGCGTTAGGGATTGACGTTAAAATTTGAGTTTAGTAAAAAAAAAGTAAAGTAACAAACAGCATATAAATGACCCACTGCTGGGCAAAGGCCTCTTCTGTAAACGCGATTCCAGTGCGGATTGGCGGACTTCACATGTTTTCGAAATATTTTTTTTTATTATTTCGAAAATCTGAAGGGTTTCCTCACGATGGTTTCCGATGTTTCACCGCCGAGCACATGATAAGTCAGCACTTAAAATTAACAATTTCATTGGTGCAGGAACCGGAAAGCGAGCGCCCGGACACAGAGCTATCACGGCTCTTGAGTTTGAGTTTAAAGTTTAATAACTGTACTTTTACCGTGCTACCACTGTAAAAGTTCAGTTGGTCTCGCATCAGCTTCTGCTCTTACACGAATGAGCAGGCTTGTTCTAGAAGTACCACTGTCCGACAGAAGACCGACCGCGAAAGTCTTTCACTTACCGGAAGTGTCGTACTTTCGCGTATCGTTTGTTGTGTGAGATATCTTAGGCCCACTGTTTAATGGTTGGCAACGCATCTGACATGACCACGGGAGACCGTAATCATTTGACATCAGGTGAAACGTAGAAATCTTGAGGTCTTCAACTTTGCTTTGTTTTATTTTTTTTTTCTCAAGATAAAACACCAAAACTAACAATGAAATGCTGTTTTATTGTTATTATACGCATAATTTTGAACGCAATTATTTGATGTTAATTAGCAAATAAATTTAATGAATTCGCCAATTGGCCATAAGAATTGTTCGCTAATATTTTTTATTGAATAACAGTTTTTTAAATGAAGTCTCTTACACGAGAATGGTTATACGTTATTGAATTTTTTGCAGATATTGAATAGTTCAATCATCTCTTCATATCTTTAATTGTTTTAAAAACGCACCGCCTGGGCGTTTCATTGTTTTCAATTTAATAAATAAGCTAATATTTTGCGAGTAGGCACTTGCTTGATATTTGTTTACGATAGTTAAAGGCTTTCATTGACATATTTTTAATTTTATTATTAACTTCATATGTTTGTAACTATTTATGTATGTTATTATCACTACATAGTATAAATAAAACAAAATCGGCTCGCTGTCTGTCTACCCCTTTGTATACTTAGATTTTTAAAACTATTTAACGGTTATTTTTAGTAGATAGAGTGATTAAATAGGAAGGTTTATATGTATAATATATTGCAAGCGTGCGAAGCCGGGGCGGGTTGCTAGTGTATGTATAAATTGAAGATCATGCTTCGTGACTGTCTGTGGAGGAGACCAATGTTCATCAGTGGACTAAAACAGGCTAAATGATCATGATGATGAAGATCAGACACACATACGAATATTAGATAATTCGTTTTTGTTACAGTTAATGTTTTTCAAATTTGGGTTTTTCATTATGTACATAATCACGTAATTACGGATTTTTTTTTCTATTTTTCAATTAAAACACTATTTAAAAC